CATTGACATACTTATACAATATGGATCTATCAGATAAATCAGTGAACATTGATTGAATGTACGTAATCATTGTGTCTGGGAACGGGCGATTACGATTCCAAATTACAAGAATATCGAAATCGATAGTACTTTCATGAAAGACAATAAAATCTTTCTTTATCTTCTTGCAAAGGGTTAAGTTAGTCATAGGTTGCCACAACTCGCGGCGCAACCGCCGAGGATCATCACACAGTAATGAAATAACGACGTAACTGTGCATGTGACTATGGCTGAAGAGCAGATAAACAGTCATACCTACACCCTTTGCTACTGCGTTACTCCGTTACTGTGTGATGACTAGGGAGCTGCGGATCCTTCCAGACCCGATTATACATTTTGTGACTCTGCTGCTCCCAGATGAGATATATAAAAACAAGATATCACTGTACATTAAGTTTTTTTCAGATTCGGGTCCAAGTTTTAAACTTTTTTTGGGTTCGGATTCACAAAAATGCAGACCTGCAGCTCCCTAGTGATGATCACCGGTTTGTGGCAAACACTCAAATTAATCGTTAAGAAATTTATTTCAGTAATACTTAAAAAACAAAAGCATCATTCCTTCTCAAAAAAACCAACAACATTAATTGCAATAAAAGAATACATATGTATTATTATATAATTACTTTTTTAGTCACATTTGCCAAAATTAACAAAAGTAGTCATTATGAAAATTTGATCCTTCGTCGAAATTATTCTTGTCGTGATACAAAGATTCTTGTGATTTCTCTTCATTTCTAATTTATTGTTGTACGCCGATACTATTGTAGTTGTATTCATGATGTGAAACTGACTATTCCGATACGATTCCAATTCCAAAACAAGCCGGTGTTACCCATGTTTAAGCGTGTCAGTGAACGTCAGTATGAGTTTTTGCTGAATAGTCGATCTTTTTAAATATTTGAACAGTATCTTATAATGTTCATGTCAGTGTTTTATCTAGATTTTCTCTTCTGGAAGAGTGATTTAAAATTTCGGAAGGGCACACATCTATTTTTAGGAACATAAATGAAAAGCATCAGGTTTATATCTGATATCGAAAAATTAAATTTTCTATAGATATATGTGCGTGAAAACTCTTCTATTATATGCTATTAAATACAGAATTCTTGATTCTACTTGAAACGCTATCTTAATCCTTTTTCGCAAATATCCCGTTTCTGAAAAAAAATGAAAATCGAATGGTATATTTTGGCTGAAAACTTTTGAACTGCTGAAGAATTATTCATGTGTGTTTTTCAACTGAATGTTTTAAGACATATTGTATTAAGTAGACAGTTTATTTTATGAACAGAAAAGTTCGTGATAGAGATGTCCATTGTGGCTGAAAACCTACCGTTGCCGCACCGCGATGATTTTTAAAAAACTTGCTGGTAGCGGCAGCGCCGCCATGAACATCTCTGGCTCGTGATAAATTAATAGGATAATGAAAAAAGATCTGTTTGACCATTTTTAAATAATATTCTGATTAAAAATAATTACCAAAATTAATAATTTTAGAGTAAAAAAGAATATTTGAATAAAATGTAATGATTTTAGAATTTTGTTTGTATTTGAATAGGATGTAAAATTAACAACAGTTAATGATGATCAATTATTTGTCTTTGAAGATTATTTATATCAAGTAAGAAAAAAAATAATAATATTCTTGTTTTTTTTATTAATTATAGAAAAAAAAAGGTTCTTTTATTATTTTCTCGTGATACATATATTCAATCATGTTTTGTAAGCAGTGCAAGTGGTTGTGAACCAGCACGTTCATTTATTAAAAAGAGAATAGGTTCTGAAGAATGTTCAGTTATATATCCTCCAAGTGGAATTATTCCATTTTATGGTTTTTCAATGCTTGGTAAAACAAATGTTTTTTGTTTTCTTTTAGTTTTTGATTTGAAAATAAATAAAAAAAATTTTTTTTTTTTGTTTTTAAAGTTGCACCAATGTGTTTCGTTTTTGAAGATCCAGTTCATTTATATTTTATCTTTCGAGAATTTTATATGAAATATTTTTTTAATTTACATCATATATCAGCTTCACCAAATGTAAAATAATTAATAAAAAGAAAAATTTTAATTTTATTAGAAAAGAATTTTACTTTAGGCAATTATTAGTTTATGTGTTTTATTTGAATCTTTATTACGTCAAATTTCACCTGATTTATGGTTTCATTTACAGGATATTCAAGTTCAACCGTAAGTTATAATTATTAATTTATTGATTTAAAAAAAAAACTAAAGTTTTCTTTAGATTACGAATTGCTTTTAAATGGATGATGAGAGCTTTTTCGGGTTATTTAGCTTCGAATCAATTATTAGCACTTTGGGATAGAATTCTTGCTTATGATTCGTTGGAAATTTTATCTCGTATTTAAATTAATTGCGTTATTTTTAATGCTTGTTGTTTTTTTCTTTTATTAATTTAGTTCTTGGTGCTGCAATATTCGTATTACGTAAAGGAAATGTTTTAGCAGTAACAAGTGAATCAGCCATTGAAGTAAGAATCTTTTTTTTTTATTTTTGGAAAATTATATTTTTCATTTTATAATTTATCTTAGGCTATTTTTTCCGATATATCATCAATTAAAGTAATACCATTACTTCAATTTATACTTGGACATTGATTTTATTATTTGATTTTGATCTTTTTTTTTCTATTTTGTTTATGAAATAAAATAGCATGCACATTGATTGTCTCATTCAATTATTAAATTACTGAGCAATGAATATGAGAAACAAAAAACATTTTTTTCTTT